CTTTTGGGTGTTTAAGGTCATAGAATTGGCCCAGATAAATTAATTTATTTTTACTCTTAAAGCCTTTTGAGGATCTGTTCCTCAGGGGGCCACACAGGCTTGGGAGGAGCCCCTGGCTCCTTTCTTTTACCAGTTCCGCCTATGTGAAGATAAGTCAAAGGTCCTGCTCGACCATGGCTGGCTTTGCTTGGAAGCATGGAGGAAGTGATTCCTCTGTGTTGACCCTCCTCTTTGTAGACTGGACACTGGTTCAAGTCCATCTCGTGGGGTCTCCTCAGCCTCCTTGATCAAGAGGAGAGGTTACCCAGCACAATTACAGGACATTTTGAGAGATGCTCATAGTCCCTTGGAACTAGTTGACCTAGGAGGACAAGGAGCAAAAGTGTCCTTTATGTCCCTCTGACCAAATTATTATAGGCCTCAAGGTATGTCTGTTAAACATCCAAGAAGGTTAGTTCCACCCACCAGTCTGGTACTTTTAATTACTGTGTGCCATGTAGATAAATCTTGGGCAAAGATCAATTGTTTGCAGATAAACCTTACCTAGACATATATTTCTTGATCTGCTATGTATAATTTGTTACTAGGTTGTAGGAGTAATATGGTTCTCTCTGGTTTTTAAAACTAGTTAGGCATTATTTATCTCTCACATTGTGTAGGAGAACTCTTACATATTGATCCTCTTTTGAGTTCAAAGGTTTTTTTCTAATCAAGCCTTCATAGTTGCATATGACTGACTAGGCTAGTGAAGTCATCATTGTGGTAACTGAGAGGCAACTTTTGTGTATATATAGTCTGGTTGAAATACAACTACACTTATTCAATCAAATGTTGGCTATGATTGCTTTCATTTTCTACAATGGTATGGGCAAGTTGTAAGGGCAGAGACCGCTTCTGTGTTGCAAAGAAAAATATTTACATTGGCCCTTTCAAAGATTCTGATGACAGCTTACGTAGGGTATAGTTAAGTTCATATTGTACTTACTGAATTTTATTTAAAAGGATGCATCATTATAAGCAACACCTATCTACCTATCTATACTTGGCTGTCCCTCACAGGTCTTATAAAGGATAAGATATCATTGGCCCATTACTCTGCACTAAAAGCATAGTGATGCAATTTAGTTAATACCTTAAAAGTTTATAAAATATTTACAAAGGTCTTTAGTAATACAAATGGCCATTATATGAAATCGAAATAATTTTCTTTTCTGAAGGGAAAAAAAAATCTGATCTTTTCACATACAGATTTTCTCGGGAAAAGATTCTAATCATATTTTGTAAATGTTTGCAAGTACTGAAGAACAGCAGGTTGGTAATCCTTGTTTGTTTAATCAAACTCAGGTAGATTGTCCATTTGATTTCAGGCTGGGGAGGAAAGGTGTATGGGGCAAGGACAATACTTTCTGGGATTTGAATAAACGTAGTGAAAAGACTGCTGAGCAAAGGATTTGAGAGTAAAGTTACATCCAGGAGACTCTTCTTCACCAAAGAAATGATTTAAGCACTTCTTACATAGTTACTTTGTGTGCCACATACATGTTTATGTGTGTGCCTGTGTGTGTATAGACGCGGAAGCACCTGCATTTGTGGAGGCTGGAGGTCACTATCAGGTGTCTTCTCAATCACTCTCCAAATTATTTTCTGAGAAAAAGTCTCTCACTTAAACCAAGAGCTCACTGACTCTGCTAGCTAGCATCCGGGATCCTCCTGTCTCTACTTCTCTAATCACGGGATTGCAGACACACATAACTGCACTCAGCTTCTATGTGTATGCTGAAGAACCACATGCAGATCCTCGGGCTTGCATAATAAATATTTTACATGATAAGAACCACTGCCCCTGCTAATTTACATGTTGTTATATATTAAGTTTATATCCAAATACACCTTTCATTTTATATTAAAATGTAGCAGATTATACATGGAATGATTCATTCAAGCTATATTCTCACATGGACATCATACATCTTCAAGTAGGCTTTTCAAGTAAGTTTTGTGTGTGACATTTTCTAAGCTCCTACATATTTAAGCTTATCAACTGCATCTTCATTCATAAAATAAATTCATATCCTGGCTGTAAATATTAATGAGAGGTCACAGTGTTCTCTCAGAAATCATCAAATGTTCCTTTGGCTCTTAGCACTAAATCCCATACAAGATTATAAAGTGAGCCTACATTGTAAAATGTACAGCAAGAAGCAAAACAGCAAACTCAACTAGTATAATTTTGCAAGCATTTTCACACACAACTGCCCCATGAACAGTTGCAATCATTTTGCGGCTTCTAGCTCTCTGCTCTGCACATTTAACACCTTCACACCATGCTGTCCTTGTCTACATCTTTGCTTAGTATTTAGGAAAAGCTTATCATATTTGTTCTCCACATGACTGATGGGAATCTTCGTGTCACATTCATTCTGCTGACACCACGGGCTTAACTTGGCTGCTGCACTTTCAAATTTCATCATTTCCTGAATTACCATTTTCTTCTTGTCCTGTTCCCTTCACATGGTCTTTTCCTATGGACTGCTGGTTCTGTTTCATAATGATCTTACTTCTTCATACTCTGCTGAAATGACTGTTCAACTTTTCTACATTCTTTGTAATCTTCCTTTTTGACTCTTTGGGGACTTTTTCCCCCCTTTTCTCTTTATAACATTTAAAGGTTCATTGTTGAGCATTTAACACCTTCTAACAATGAGTGATTTTTTACAGAAATGGTACAAGAGACAGCCACATTCTTAAAGGACAGACTACTTTTCACTGTCGTTAGCAGGTTCCAGAATCTATTAGATTGAAGTATAGTTTCATAAGATTGAAATATGACTGCCTTTTGTGAATAGCCCCGGTTCCTAGTTTCATCTCTGGTCACTGGGCTTCATGTTTGCAGCTGTCACCACTTTTTATTCACAAAAACTGCCCACCAGCTTTTGCATGTAGGTGCTAATTGATACTTTCAATGAATGAATATGAAAAATAAAAATCTGTATCAAAAGACAGAAGAACGAGAAAAGTGGATAGTAATTCATTGTAAAAGGAAAACCAAGAGCAACAGAAATGGCCAGGGCATATGCCTCACAAATGCAGTAGCTTGAGTGTCTCTTTATTCCCTCATCACTATTTCTCCTTCATTTCCCAACAGTGAATAGACAGAGCACAGAGCTATTAGAGGAGTGAGGGCAAGAAGGAGGTAGTGGCTGAGGCAGGGGCAGGAATGCTGCATCAGGACACACTGAGGAAGAACCAAGGGTATTTCTCTTTAGTGTCTCACTCTCATTCACTGGCTTGTTGTATTTTTAAATGAAATAGCAGTGTGAATGGCCCAGCAAGCAAGGTTTTTATATCCTGCAAATTAGCCTAAAAGAAGTGATGCTAAACATGGTACATAGAGTAACAACATATAAGTATGTGACTAGATTTTCATGTTTTATAAATGCCAAAATTTTCCATTTTCTTTATTTGAATATTTTCTTGAGATTTAGGATTAATAACATGAAGTTATCTTGATGTCATTTATAGGGCAAGGCCTTGTCATCACGTCTTAAATCTGCCTCATTGTGTAACTGTGTTTCTCAGCTGACTGGCAGTCTGAATCCTGCCTGGGCCTTATCTACTAAGAGCTCTTACTTCTTTGTCGCTGTAGCAGGCTCCATACCCTGAATGGATTCCTAGAAATCTCTCAGCTTCCCTTAGCCTGAGTCCACCTGTGCTATCTGATTTCCATACCTGATTTATTTCACTGTCACCCTAAATATCCATTCCCTGTTCTTCATTGCTTCTCTAGATCCACGACAATTTCATATAGTCCAATACCCTGCTTATTTTTAAAAAATAAGTTTTAGTTTCTGTTAACTTTTCTCCTTGTCTTGATAAACAGCATCTGGATAGTTACTCTTACCCTAATCAATTTTTCCAAGCGTTCTGGGTTTGACTTACCCTGTCTGCTGTGCTATTATTAGCACAAGTCATTTTGGAATCTCTGGGAGATGGAATCTATCAAAGGGCACAATAATATCAGAATTATGTGCACTGCTGTCAGCATAAGGCAGAAATCCAAGTTCAGGAAATTTCACTTCTGTATTTCTCAGCAACAATAGAATTCTAACTACGAAAAGTGCCAATTATCTGAGAGTCTAGTCCTTAAAGGTATGATACAGTATTCTGCATTTTTAAAGCCATTACAGGCTTGTATAAAAAGTCAAGAAACAAATTACTTAATTAGTTCACTGATATTCTTATAAACCAAATAAACTAAAAAATCCTCCTGTGTTATTATAGCAACTAAGATAATTTTGTTGTAAGACAATACTGCCCATTAGCACAAAATATTTTATGAACAAATGTTTAAAAGACTTGCTACATTTCAGAAGTCCAAAAAAAAAGAAACAGTAATCCTAAACAAATGAGGTAAAGGCACAGCTCAAAGTTTGTGTTACTGGCTCAATTCTATGAAAAAAAAAAAAAGTAGCTCAAGACATAAAATAGCATCATTTGTGCAATTAGGTAGGGGTGTGTGTGTGTGTGTGTGTGTGTGTGTGTGTGTGTGGTTCTTCTTTGTGTGTACTTGTGCATATGGAAACCAGCAGAGGTCAACACTAAGTGTCTTCCTCATCTGCTCTCCATTTTCTTTTTAAGACATCTAAAGTGTTAATTTTCCATCATTAAATCATTTTTGTATGCTTACACTGAGAATTCAAGCTTTCCCATGCATCATCTCTACTTCCAGAGCATCTCAATTTGCACTACTCATGTTTCAAGTGATCAATACCCACATCAGACTATTGGGGACATTGAAGGTCTGCTATGACCATATGTGGGGAAAAACTCCAGAATATTGGATAAGCAGTAGCTATGTGAGGTGATATATGTTAATTATTCAATATGCATATTTCAAACATGTTATACGTGCTAAATATCTATTATATATAATTTTAGGTTCAAACACATAAAAAATGAAATAAAGAGATTATGTGAGAGATGATGAATATTTCTCTTACCTACACAAGTCCTCTTTTATGTGAAGGGAAATCAATTCCTTAGGAATATGGAAAGAAAGTATGCTTTCTGACATCTGCTCACGGATTCGCATCCACTTGTTGTCAGATGTGGGAAATCTATATAATTTACAAACTGGATTCTTTAACACTGAGCAAGAAGAAAAAAATAAAAGAGCAATAGTTAAATTATTAGCAAATACACATAGGTAAAGCTCAATTGACAAAATTATTAATGGGGATAATGCTCTAGTTACTCATTTAACAAAGAGTTGCCTTTGTCAAAATTCACTTGTATATTTGAATTTTAAAGAATTTTATTTAATTAATTAATTAACTTATTTTTGTCTTTTTGAGACAGGGTCTCCCTGTAGCCCCAGCTGACCTGGAACTCACTATGTAGACCAGGCTGTACACAAATTCACAGAGATCTGCCTGCCTCTGCCTCCTGAGTGCTAGAATTAAAGGCGTGCACCACCACACCCAGCTAGAATTTCATTTTCACATCACAAGTTTGTGTTAGCTTTTAGAATTTACAATGTCTGTTACATTTAATAAACATAAGTCAAGATCGAATTAATAAATGTGGCTGGTGGCAATTTACTAGTCATTGCCCTCTTTGGTAAACTTTATAAAGCATAAATACCAACAGATATAGATTAAATTATAAATACATATAACTAAATACATTTTGGAGTATAATTATGAATTTATTCTGATCACTCTGAGATTTATAAACTTAAATAAGTGAAAATAAACGTGCTATTTCATAAATATTTGAATTTATTTCTCAAAATGTCCTACTAACGAAAATTCTTATATTTCCAAAAGATTCATTCCTTGGCTTAAGATCTATTAAAATTCATATATTGTACATAGCTTGAAAAGTCAGTGAATCAGCAGCACACTTTCCTGAATCCATATAATTTCAGAAGTGAATCTTGAACACTGTGAAGATGTTCTGTATTAGGTAGGCAGTGTTTAGAAAGGTAATGAGTGATGCGACTAAAGATTTCAACGGATTCAGAAACAGAGGGCAGGGTCAGACATTAAAATAATACCTGATCCATCGTCAAGGGTCCTGAGCACACAGCACACTCACAAGTCTTATATTTCAGGGTAGAATGCTTTTCTAATTGCTACTGTGTAATAATATTTGTGTCACACTCACACATCAAAGTGTAATGGGGAATAAAAATCAGATACATTTCCAGTCAAGGATCTAGTGGCAGGTGGCTCCAGTTTCCCAGTAAAGCTAGTTAAAACTGTTAGTAGATACTAAAGTGAATGCAACATTTTAAGCAGTGTTGTGTATAATGCATGGGTGGGGTCTCCTCAACATAAAAGAGAAGACACATTTCAAGATCTCAGGGTTCTCATTCACTAGTTTATTTTCATAGTCTTTTGAGTTTTATCAGTTTGACTGTATCAAACATACATATATTTTTAAAGTATATAGAAATGATTTTTATTTATTTTTGATATTCTTTTTTAAAAAATTATTTAATAACCACATAATTATTAGAAGCATTTCATTACAACAGCATTAACATATTCAATAACAGTTTCCAGAGCAAAGATTCATCTCTTTAAAAATTGGCTGTAAACTTTTAGATTCACAGTGTTGAATTAATAGTTATACATTATTGCACTCATTATAAACCCTATAAGACATAAAATTGAATGAGGTTTTAATATTTAAAAATAGATCTCCAATTCATATTAAAATATACTGTTTCATACAGAAAAACTCATTTTTAATGGAACTAATACTTAAATCTTTGCACATGCATCTCTAACCTCTATGTATCTGATTATTACTAGTCATAGTCTGTTAATTTCTGAGATACTTGGCACCTGAGCATGAATATAGAGTCATCAGGTAGATTTCAATGATAACGTTTTTCATATCTACTAATTAACATGAAGCAAATTTTCATGCTTCTTCCTCAAATATATCTCATGCTTTTTTTATCTGTTGATTTTGTGTGTGTGTGTATTTCATACAGAACATCCCAAATAATCTTATTCATCTTTATACCCGCACCCCAAATGGCACCCTCCCACCCCCCACCCCCACTGGAGCCCATATACTCCGTCATCCCTTTTACTGTCCACTGTGTTGTCTATGTCCGCAGCCATTCTCCAGTGCTTGTCCATCCTCTGAATCTCCTCAGCCTATCTAGAGTTCCTTGTTTTAGGAATATCAGGTCTTCCTCATCTAGCAGCCATCAGTTGCCAACATTCTTTTAGATAAGATTGGGTCTGCTGTTCATTTTCCGAGTACTATGCTGGGTTACTGTCTGGTAGTCTCTTGGGTCACCCTAGCCAACAACTCAAAGGAAGGTATCCCCTGTCTGGCATTGTTTCTGTTTATGTAGCCTTTAGGTATACTCATGGACTCTTAAAGAATTATACTGATCACTTTAATCTTTGGTTATACTTTCCTTTTGGCTGTTTAAGACCATAACGTTGGCCAAGATAAACCAATTTATTTTTACTCTTAAGGTTGTTTAAGGATCAGTTCCTCAGGAGTCACATGGGCTGAGAAGTCCCTGGCTCCTTTCTTTTACCAGTTACGTCTATGAGACTATAAGTGAAAGGCCAGCTCGACAATGGCTGGCTTCACTTGGAAGCATGGAGGAAATGTTTCCTCTGGGTTGACCCTCCTTTTTGTAGACTGGATACTGGTTCAAGTCCATTTGGTGGGGTCTTCATGGCCTCCTTGAACAAGAGTACGGGTGACTCACCACAGTTACAGGATATTTTGAGAGAGAAAGAGCAACTCCAAATCAACAAAATCAGAGACAAAAGGGAAAACACCACAACAGACACCAAAAAGATCCAGAACATTATAAGGGAATACTTTAAAAACCTATACACTACTAAATTCGAAAACATAAAGGAAATTGACAGGTATCTAAAAGCATGGGAACCACCAAAACTAAACCAAGAAGAGATCAACAGCTTAAACAGACCTATAACACATAAGGAAATTGAAACAGTAATACAAAACCTCCCAATTAAAAAAGCCCAGGACCAGATGGATTTACAGCAGAATTCTACAAGGCATTTACAGAAGTATATTCAATACTACTTAATTTATTCAGGAAGATAGAAATGGAGGGAGAACTTCCAAATTCCTCCTATGAAGCCAGCATCATTCTAATACCAAAGCCAGGTAAAGATACAACCAAAAAAGAAAACCATAGAACCATATCCTTAATGAACACAGGTGCAAAATCTCTCAACAAAATACTTGCAAACCACATACAGACACATATCAAAAAGATCATATCCACCATGATCAAGTTGACTATATTACAGAGATGCAGGGATGGTTCAATATACTCATTTGGATAATATGAGTGTTTGCTTGCATGTTTGTAGGTACTCCATATGTATGCAGTGCCTGAGGAGTCAAGAACAGGGTGTCAGATCCCCTGGGATTGGAGTTACAGACAGGTGTCAGCTGTTATGTGGATGCTGGGAACTGAAACTGGGTCCTCTGTAACAACAGCCAGTGCTCGGCCAACATCATGTAAATGGTGAAAATCTGGAAGCATTCCCATTAATATCAGGAACCAGACAAGGATGTCCACTATTTCCACTCCTTTTTAACATAGTACTTTAAACTCTTGCAAGAACAATAAGACAAGAGAAGGAAATTAAAGAAGTAATAATTGGAAAAGATCAAACTATCCCTTTTTGCAGACGAAAGATATTATATCTAAGAGACACCAAAAATTCCACCAGAAAATTCCTAGAAATGATTAACATTTTCAGTAAAGTGGCAGTTTACAAAATTAATCTACAAAAGTCTATAGCCTTTCTATATAACAATAACAGCAATCAGAAAAAGAGTACATGGAAACACTCCTTTTCACAATAGCCTTAAAAAAAAATCTCAGAATAAACCTGACCAAAAAGTTTAATATATTCTGTAATCTGAAATCGAGAACTTATAGCTAGCCTGCAAAAGAAACTAGAGGATTACATTCTTTTAATGAATGCTTCAAAGATATAAAACTGCTTCTATCATCATATTGCTAGGAGTTAGAAAACATGTATGTATTGAATTCAATGTAATGTCAGTCAGGCTATAATTTTATGATAAGATCTTAGAAATTCTCATACACATAATGAGTTTAGGAATGTGAATGTATCATTGTATGGTAAAATGAATCCCCAAACTCTGAAACATCTAACACACTCCATAGTAACATATGACAATATTCAGTTACTTGGTTTAGCTGTGCTCTCTTCCTAACTGTATTTTAAACTACTGTTTTCAAAATTATATAGAATCTTTATATCTCCCAAAACACTTAAAAAGAATCCTTGAGTTTTTCTTGCTCTTTAGAATTCAGTAGTTATTTTTCCATAAACTTTTTATTTTGAGTTGTAAGAAAATACAAAGCTCCCCACTGTCTCTGTTGAACCCCAAACAAGTCCTTCACTTTTTGACTTTCTTTTTTTAATTTCAACGCTCTTCACGTGTTTTAAATATACACCTTTGTTGTATTATCTAAAGCAGAAAAGAGGGGCAGTTTGAAGAGTGAACTGTGGAACTCTCTACTGACTACCATGTGTACATCAACGAAGAGTCCAGTGAGCTGCTACCAAAGGAAATGCACAGAAAAACAAACTAGAAAAAATATCTGTGGCATAATCATGAAAAAATCCCTTTACTATCTCCTATATAATTCTTATGGTATGGGTTCCAATATTTTGATTCTCAGACATTTCTAAAAGCAGTTGCAAATAAATATATATTTATCAGCAGCACAACAGGAGGTATGTGTTATGTTTTGCATCCGGAGTGTTCCCCAAAATCTCATATTTAAAGACTTGGTTGCCATTCTGCAGCACTATCGGAAGGTGGCAGAGAGAATAAGAGGTAGGACTAGATGATATTCATTGAAGTTATGTCCTTGAAATGGTTAGAATCTCCTCTCTCTCTCTCTCTCTCTCTCTCTCTCTCTCTCTCTCTCTTTCGGCTACATTGAGATAAGTAGCTTTGCTCAATAATGAACTCCTGTCATGATATTCTGTCTTGTCACAGGCCTCCAAACAACCAAGCCAACTGACCATTCCAAAATAAACCTCTCTTTCTTTAAGCTCACTTATTTGGTGAGCCACAGTGATGAA